GCCTCGGATATATATGAATAACTAAACATTTATAATCGTAGTTATTTTCAGTAATAAATATCTTATCTAACAAGACATACGTGATAATATAATATTTATATTTTTAATCGATTATATAGAGGGTGATAATAAAATTATATATGTTAAGTGATTATATCGAATGTGATATAAATGGGTTCACGATTCTTCAAACTACCCAAATAAGTTTAAGTATTTTAAAGTGTAAAAGAGTTATGTGAAACATATTACTGTAAATTGTATATATTGAGAGTGTAATCGCTCGTAATAAAGAATAACTCTTGGTAGTTTCGTTCATTAACAAATTGAAATCTTTATTAAAAATATTATCGATTCCTAATACATAAAACCCCGAATACATAATACATTCGCTAAACTAACCCCCTTCATTATCCCGCTATCGTTAAACTGACACACAGTACGTTTACTGTTGTCTTGTCCACGTGATACCCCCCTGCAAATTGTCCGGTTATTCTTGACGTACTAAGACTAACCGTGGTCTTCGATTCCAACTAACCCGACGTATTGTGGTTGGTTGTGGTTATTTGTTTTGGTTCCAGTTACCCGACGAACTGTGGTGACTGTGGTTTCGCATATTGGAATACCCGACGCACTGTGGTGTTCATTCTTTAAGATTTAGAATAATTACAGACCTACGAGCACGAACCCACCGACCAAATCTAAACTCCTCTTTCGACTAGGCCATTCGTAGGTTATAGAGAGTTTTCCATAGCTGAGCGACCGATTCGCCGTATCATATCCCCCCGTTTTCAATATTCACTCTAACCTTAATAGCTCATCTTAATGTTTGTTCTAGCCCCCAGCTGCTCAACATATTGTTTATATGCGTAGCTACCACGGTTCTTAAATATAAACAAGGGTATGGGCAGGACGAATTATAAATAAATAATATATACAAGTAAAATTGAAATAACAAAAAGACTATATAAAAATAGTATAAAGTAAATAAAAATAATAAATAAATAAAAATAAGAAAAATCCGTGACTTGGAGCGGGATACCAATTTACATTCCAACAGTGTATTTTTAGATCTAATGCTATTTTTAGCCTAATTTAAAATTATTACATCCAAATTCAAAGAGATATAATACGATAGTACTTTTTAATATACTCTTTAAATTTGAATATAGCTATAAATTTCATTTTATTGTTCTTTTCTTTTTTATTTTGCACGTAATAAAAATGATGTAGACCTTTATGAAATATATTACTAATTCTATGGGGGTTTTTTTTTCTTTTTGTTATTTGCAATTGATCTCTTTTCGAGATTTTATAAATAAATAACTTTGCAAATGGGAAATTTGAGGTCGGTGTTCTCATCCTGTTGCGTACATCTGTGTATAACTAACTCGAAAAGAAATGATTTTTTTTTTGATCTATAACAAAGATATCTCATAACTACCTGCTGAAATTCAATGAAAATTTTTTATTCTAATCTTAAAAGATTAATCTAAAGAAATAAAAAAATTTTTATTGAATTTAATCAGGTAGTTATCGAGATTTCATCGTTCAAAGTTTTTAAAAAACTCATATCAAAATAGAAGTTAGGCCAAATTGTTAACGAGGTAACTCGACAACCGCCGCTTAAATCCGATCAAAATATTGTTATTTTAATTTTATGATTTTGTAATATTGGAATAGAATTTGAAAAGGTGGTTGTCAAGATAACGTTGTTCAAAGTTTTGAAATAATTTTGCGCAGTTTCTATTGAACATTAATTTTTAAAAAACTTTGAGCGAGGATATCTTGATAACTACCTAAGTAATTCTATGAATTTAATTTTTTTATTTTATGAATCTTTAGGATCGTAATATAATATTTTCATCGAATTTGAGTAGTGTTCTTCGTTCATATTTTAATTTGGATTTAACCAAAATAGTGTTACGACTGAATGAGAGAGCAATGCAAATATATGCGCGGTTTAGCTCCAGCCGTTAACTTAGTTTGGTTACGATAGCATTTTAATTCGTCAAATCAGACTCGAATATTAATGATAGTTAGAAATTAAAGAAAGGTAAATCATAATTAGGAGATCCGAACTTAGTTCTTTTTATATTTGAGACATTAAAGTCTGGGAAAACTTTATTAACGAAAAATGAGAATCTTATATACATTTTTTCTAGACTATAATTAATTATGACTTGAAAATTCGGTTTCACTATCCATGAAACCCCATTTTCAATTAATTAGTTCGTGAAGCTCCAGTTTCAATTAAGTTGCTTCACTTTCCACTCGAAATGGTAAGCTTCAATATAGATGCTTCATTTCCCATTCAAAATAGTAAGTGAAGCTTAAGTTTCATAATAAGGTAAGATAAACTAAAACTAAACAAATAAACAACAAAAGAATTAAATTATCATAGCAGGCTAAGTCTCTGGTCTTGTTTTGTTACAGAAAAACTGTGACATACTTCTTCTCTTATACGTGAGTTCCTGCGAATGCTATATCCAAATCTTAAAAATCTTAGTTAACATTTTATACTGAGGAGTACATATTAGAACTTTCCTAGCCCCAGCATCAAAGAGCACACGATTGAATCTTCCCAGTTTTGAAATACTAAACTAAGAATCTGATAACATAACATTAAAAAAAAAAGAAAAGGAAAAAATAATCTAAAACTAAAAACAAAATCATAACTAAAATCAAATACTAATCAATAGGCCTGTTTCAGCTCTTTATGTTTACTGCCTATTACTAAACTAATCTCAAAATAAAAAAAATATAATAAAATAAAATAAAATAAAATCTTCTTATACTATTGTAATCATTTGTATTATATTCATCAAATTATAATTGTCATTTAGAGAATTACATCATCCTCACTCTGCACATAAGAATCATAATCAACTAGTACCTAAATATTATGTTTTTAAGACCTGTTTTTATTAATTGTTCATTTCTCAGAAGGAACCTTCAGCTACAAGATGAATAACAAATCGTGACAAGACCAAAGTATTCATAGCTAATTTTTTTTTTTTATCAGTAATTATTTTTATCGGATGTTCTATAGAATAGGTGGGCAATATAAGAAATAAGCTTCTTTAATGATTAGTAATCATTAATTTTTTAATATATTAAGCGGAGTTTAGCGGAGTTTGCCACCTATTTATAGAACATCCGCAGTGAGTATATCAAGTGATAATAAAAATTCCTGGGGGATTTTTTTGATTACTCTTTCACAAATTTTGAAGATATTACTTTCATTTTTAATATTCATAGCTGTTTTCAGAATTCGCAAATTAATCGGATTCAAAAATGATCTTAAAAATTGAAAATGACTGAGCCGTTATTGAAATATTTTCGTTCAAAGTTCGTAAAAACATAGGCGATATTAGACTTTATAAAAATTGGTGATTTTTAGCCGATCACAAGTACCTAGTTTATAATTTGCCGTTATCACAGTAATTTGACATAAAATTAAAATTCCAAGTTATTTTTTATTAAATCTAAAATCAACTTAAGTTGATTCCGAATCCACAAATATTCCGCATTCACCTACAACATATATAAAAGATCAAATTGAAGTTTATAAATTTCATTTCTAATTAAACGCAAACATATACGAAGTATTTTAATTTTTATATTAAAAGTCTATCTGAATATTTATTTGAATATTGTGCAGAAAATGCATTTCATTTTTTAATAACTTGAAATACTTCATAATCTTCAATTTGCAAACCATTTGAAATACCAATATTCTGATAATGATTATTACTGTTGAAACCATTATTATATCTGTAATTAATATAATTACCGCTAATAATTAATTGACTATCACCAAAATTTGGTCCATGACTACTATTACAATAAATTGCATAAGAAGGTGAAGAAACGCGTCCTAATTCGGCACTTGACACATTATTAGAATCACTAAATGAAAATATATAACTATCAGACGAACTCTTGCATTGGTTACTCATATCCCAATTAATTGGAGCGTAACCACCAACAAGTTGATTTGAATTTAAAACTTTTGCCACGACAATTGTTGCACCTTTGTTGTCACATTTTTGATGAAATATATTATTTTGAAGACCATCTCTACTACCACGGAATAAAAGAACAAATTTGTAAGGTGATGTATTTTTATAAATTTCATTCTTTTTATCAATCCAACTTGCAAATAACAGTGAATGGGTTTTTTCAATCAGAATTGAGTTAATATTACGCCTAGAAGGAAATGCATTATAAAGAGGTACTGCGTCCGGAACCATATAACAGCGTAAAATGTCATCGAATAGGTTTTTTGGAAGGATAGACATGCATGGCAATATTTTATGATAAAAATCGGGCATACTTATATCATGAAATCTAATATATTGTGTACATCTTTGCAATGTTTTTTTCAATAATTCAAAATCATCATAGTTAAATTTTGTAACATCATCATTAAGTTCCGTATTTTGAGCAATTCCCCATTTGACTACTCGTTCCCAGATTTCACTTTCATCCATGTTAAGTCCATCATGCTTAAGAATCAGTATTAACAAATCTTCTTCTAATGAAAGGTATTTGTTATTTGAATCAAATAGAATCTCAGGATTTTCACAAATAGTTTCTAAAGAAAACTCTTCGATCTTATTAAAAGCTTCATGACGAGCAGCGATATGAAGCATGCCTACAGGATTTTGTTGTAAAAAGTTTTTCTGGTTTTCGATAAAATATTGCTGAACATGGTCAATAAGTGTCGTAAGACCAAATTCATCAGAGGCGACTAAAAGATCTAAGATCGTTTCTCCTTCTAGATCTTTAATGTCTACATCGCCAAAATATAAAAACCTGTTATAAAATAAATATTATTATGTTTTCTTATTTGGCATTACTATAATGACTTAGTTTATCTCATTACTTACTTAAGAATAAGTTCAAAAATTGATGGAGAAATGTTAGGCTTCTTAAATATAAAGCAACCGTTATCTTCATTTTTTATTGCCCAATTAGAAGCAAGAGCTCCACGAAAATAGGCAGATCTGGTACGAAGAACTACGGAATGAGCGTGAATTTCTTTGGCATTAGACTCTTCGCCGGCATAAATAATCACATCATAATCTTCTTTAGTTTCGTAAAGTTGCTTATAATCATCAGCCATGTCAATAAGAAACTTGGTATTCATTTGATATACTTTTGTGAAGAAAAGTAAATTTTTCTTGTTATCGTTATTCCAAGACGTCTTTATGGTGCAAAATTACACAAATTACAAATTTCATATGTCATTATTCCCATATTTGGGTTTCTCTAAGGGAAAAAACCCGGGCTTATATACTATAAAATTACTCACTATAAAATTAGTCCGCTATATTTAATCAAATTTTCTACCAGTAATCTATCAGTAGATAGCACAATTTATGTGTAACATCTAGTGTTCCGAACGGGTCGGGTCGGGTCGGGTTGAAAAACTTTCGGTTAGCACTTCAACCCAACCCGAACCCGACCCGACTCGAACCCGACTCGAAATTTAAAGCTGCTGTCAATAGAAATCAAACTAAGCAAATTTTAATAATTTTTCTTAAAATAAATGTTAAAGTTTGTAGAAATTCATTTAAATAATTTTTTTACAAAATTTAATTACAGCTGTTATCATTATTTCTGGGACACCTGATAATTTTTGCTCGCTACCGAATCATTCTCAATTTCATCCGGTAAATTGACTAATCTCTCAGAAACTATATCACTATCTTCGGATCTTCAGTCTGAAGACAATGACATAGTTTCCGAGAGATTAGGCAATTTACCGGATGAAATTGAGAATGATTCAGTAGCGAGCAAAAATTATCAGGTGTCC